GGTGGTGAAGGGAAGGCATCAAGAAACTTGGTTTCTTGGTAAGGCTGGGCCTATTAGGAGACCATCAGAATACACCAATGGCTCTCCTCCCTCGGGTTAACCTTCCGAGTTCCGAGGGGATCGAGGGTCGTTTCCTGGGCACAAGATATGGTGGTCCGTAACCTGCCTCCCCTTGGGGGATGGCGCGGAAAGCGCCTCATTTTTGAAAGTCGTCCCCTCGGCGTTAGACATAGTCTGTGGCCTGCCACACCCTTGGGGTGGTGGCGCGGGGAGCGTTTCGGTTTGGAAGTCGAATCCTGGGCATTTCTCGTGCCTGTCACACCCTTGGGGTGATGACGCGGATAGCGTTCCGTTTTTGAAAGTCGAATCCTGGGCATTTCTCATGCCTGTCATACCCTGGGGGTAGTGACGCGGAAAGCGTTTCAAGGAAGGGTTTTCATTTGCACACTAGTTGCAAATGGCCGGGGGCACTACGTGCCGCCGGCACCGATGGTGGCGCCTTCGGTATATGCGTCCTCGTGGGGTACGGCTTTTAGAAACAACACTTGGTGTTAGTTCCGATGTATAGCCCCCGGTACTTGGTACCGAGGGATCTTCTGTAGGAACACTTGGTGTTCCCTTTTGTTGCAGTTGATGGAGGTGTCTACCCTCGGTACCTGGTACCGAAGGGTCTTCAAATGAAACACTTGGTGTTTCCCAACATATGTTTGGAAGTTGATGGGAGGGCATATCCCTGGCACTGGGTGCCGAGGGGTCCTCTTTGAAACGATTGGTGTTTTTCTTCGTTTTGATGTTGATGATGGAGGTGTACCCTCGGCACTGGGTGCCGAAGGGTCTTCTGTAGGGACACTTGGTGTCCTTATCTTTCCTTCTTTGATGTTTGTAGGTGGAGATGCGTACCCCCGGCACTGGGTGCCGAGGGGTCTTCTGTAGGACCACTTGGTGTTCCTATCTTTGATGTCGAGGGCGGAGATGTGTACCCCCGGCACTAGGTGCCGAAGGGTCTTGACTGAGAGCACATGGGGCCCGTAGTTGGTATGAGGGCTTGGCCACTCACAAGTGTTTTGTTCTTGGTGCCTTGAATGTATCTTCATTCCTCAAAAGTGGAGGCCTTGGGCCATAGGATAGTACATTCATTAGTTATGAGGGCTTGGTCGCTCTTACATTATCGGTAAAATTTAACTAAATGGTGTACATTCCAGTGCCTAGGGACCTCTTTCCCGTTGGGGCGTTTGAGCTTGTAAGTCCCAGGTTTGATGATGGCTGCTATGATGTAGGGGCCTTCGAATTTTGGTGCCATTTTTCCTCCCTCGGTTGGTTGGCTAGCTTCCCTCCTCCGGAGGACATAGTCCCCCACTTGGAATTCTCTGGTGCGAACTTTGGCGTTGATGTAGCTTTTGACTTGCCTTCGGTAGTTTTCTGCCCGGATGAAGGCCTGCTCCCGGCGTTCTGAAATGAGGTGGAGGTCGAGGGCCATGTTGTTGTCGTTGACCTCGGGGTCATATTGGATCACCCTTCGGGTGGGAAGGGTGACTTCCGTAGGAGCTTTGGCTTCAAAACCGTAGCAGAGGGAGAAGGGTGTTTCACCTGTTGCTCGCCGAGGGGTGGTGCGGTAGGCCCACAGGATGTTGTGGAGTTCTTCCACCCAGCCACCGCCCTCGGCCTCCAGCTTCTTTTTGAGGCCCTCGAGCAGGGTCCGGTTGGAATTCTCTACTTGCCCGTTGCCTTGAGGGTAGGCAACGGAGGAGAAGGTGTGTTTGATGCCCCATGCCTCCAGAAGGGCACAGAAGGGGGCTGCCTCAAATTGTGTCCCATTGTTGGAGATGATCTGCTGGGGGACGCCAAACCTTGTGAGGATGTTCTTGAGGACAAAATGGCGGCACTTCGCCTCTGTGATACTGGCGAGGGGCTCATCCTCCACCCATTTGGTAAAGTAGTCGATGGCCACAATGATGTACCTGTTGTTGGAGGTACCCCTCGGCAGAGGGCCCACAAGGTCTATCCCCCATCGAGAAAAAGGGACAGATGTGTTCATGGGGGCATAGTTGACCGCTGGCCTGCCGGGGGCTTTCTGGAAATGTTGACATGCGGTGCACCTCCGGGCAAGGTCAGCACAATCTCTGGCCATGGTTGGCCAGAAGTAGCCCTGGAGAATGAGCCTTCGGGACATGGAGAAGGGTCCCTGGTGAGCTGAGCAAGTGCCACTGTGCACTTCCTCCATCGCGACCTCGGCTTCATCCGGATGAAGGCACCGAAGTAGCGTGCCATTGTAAGATCGTTTGTAGAGCCTTCCATCTTCGATGGTGTAGCTAGGAGCCCTCAGCTTTGCCAGTTTAGCGCGAGCCTCATTCTCGGGTAGCTGCCCTGTGGAGATGAAGGTGGTGATATCTGAGATCCAATCCTCTTGACGTTGTTGTATGTTCATAACGGGGCTTGCATGGATGCTTGAGAGGCTGAGTTCCTCGATTTTGGCAATTTTGGAGATGTGCTCGGGGGAGTCGGCCGAGAGCTTAGATAATATGTCGGCCTCGGAGTTCTGAGCCCTCGGTATTTGAGTGAGAGAGTGTGCCTCAAATACCTTAAGCAACTCCTTGGCCGCTTCCTTGTACTGTTTCATTCTTCTCTCCTTGGCCTCATATTCCTCGGAGATTTGGCCAACGACCAACTTGGAGTCGCATTTGATGTGGATCTGCCGAGCCCTCATGTTGGCAGCCAGCCGAAGGCCACATAGGAGGGCCTCATATTCGGCCTCGTTGTTGGAGACTTTGAAGGAGAAGCGGATTGCATAGTAGGCTCTGAAGCCCTCGGGAGTAATGAGGACTACCCCTCCCCCGCATGCTTTGGTCGCGGAGGAGCCGTCGATGTAGAGGGTCCACCAGTCGTCCGAGGTAGCCGAAGGCTCCCCGTCTGTGGCGGCCCTTGCGGTACATTCCGTCACAAAGTCCGCCAGGGCTTGGCCCTTGATGGCAGGCCTTGGACGGATGTCAATGTTGTACTGGCTCAAGAACATAGCCCATTTCACCATGCGGGAGGAGCTGGTGGGGCTCCTCATGAGGGCGCCGAGGGGTTGATGAGTGAGGACCTGAACCGGGTGAGCTTGAAAGTAGTGGCCCAACTTCTTGACAGTCCAAACGATGGCTAACACCGTGTTTTCCACAGGGGAGTACCTGAGCTCGGCCTCCCTTAGGGTCTTGCTAACGTAGAAGATGGCATGTTGGATGCCGTCTTCCTCCCGGATGAGCACGGAACTGATGGCCGCCGGGCTAACCCCAAGGTAGAGGTAGAGGGTCTCCCCTACCTTTGGTTTTGAGAGCACAGGGGGTGAGGACAGATACCGCTTGAGTTCGTCGAAAGCCCCCTGGCATTCCGGAGTCCATAGAAAGCCAGCCGTCTTTCTCATGATCTGGAAGAAGGGTAGAGATTTCTCCGCTGATTTAGATAGAAAGCGGTTGAGGGCTGTCAGGCGGCCCGTCAACCGTTGAACTTCATTCACACTACGTGGGGGCTCCATGTTGATGATGGCCTGGATCTTCTCGGGATTGGCCTCAATACCCCTTCGGCTCACCATGTAGCCCAAGAATTTGCCTCCTTGGACGCCGAAGGTGCACTTCTTCGGGTTCAACCGAAGGTTGAATTTTTGCATGATGGCGAAGATTTCCCGGAGGTCGTCAGCATGGCTGGAAGATTGTTTGCTCTTGACGATCATGTCGTCAACATAGGCCTCCATGGTGCACCCTAGGACGGCTTGAAAGACCCGAGCCACCATCCGGGTGTAGGTGGCCCCTGAGTTCTTTAGGCCGAAGGCCATGACTAGGTAGCAGAAGATGCCCTCGGGAGTCATGAAGGCAGTTTTTTCGGTGTCTTCCTCGTGCATGAAAATTTGGTGATACCCTCGGAAGGCATCGAGGAAGGACATAATCTCACATCCTGCGGTCTCATCCACCAGTTGATCAATGTTTGGTAGAGGGAATGGATCCATAGGGCACGCCTTGTTGAGATCGGTGTAGTCCACGCACATGCGGAAGGTAGGGGGCTTCTGTGCGAGGACTACATTTGCTAGCCATGAGGGGTATTTCACCTCCTTGATGTGCTTAATTGATAGGAGCATGGCGACCTCCTTCTTCACAAATTCCCTCCTCTCGGCGGAGAGGGGTCTCCTTCGTTGTTGTACTGCTTTTGCCGAGGGGTCCACCGAGAGGCGGTGGGTGATGACCCTTCGGCTAATTCCCGGCATGTCCTCCGGCCCCCATGCAAAGACAGTGGAGTAGGCGCGGAGGGCGTCGGTGATACCGGTTTTCAGATTTTCAGGGAGCTGGGCTCCAATCTTCACGACTCTCTCCGGCTGGGCCGGATCGAGCGCAAAGTCTTCTACGTCCTCGGCAGGTTCAGCCCTCGGCCTTTTTTCTTCTTGGTCGATGGTTCCGGTAATGGTGTCAACACGGAATTCCGTCTTGCTTACCTTCTTAGTGATCTGAAGATAGCAGGCGCGGGCAATTTTCTGGTTCCCCCGGGAGTAGCCAATGCCCCCTCGGCGGGAAACTTGAGGCAGAGGTGCCTCATGGAGATGATGGCTTCGAGGTCCTCGAGGGCTGGCCGGCCGAGGATGATGTTGTGGGCGCAGTCAATGTTGACGACGACGAACTCCACTTCGAGCTGGGCTCTATGGAGCCCGTCGCCGAAGATCACCGGGAGGGTTATTACCCCCTCGGAATCAATAGTATCGCCGGTGAAACCGGCAAGAGGGGTCTTAATGGGCCGAAGGGACCCCCTCTCCAGATGCAGCTCTCTGAAGGTGCTGAGGTACATTACATTGACGGAGCTGCCCGTGTCAATGTAAGTTCGGTGAATGATGGTGTCGTTTATCTCCGTCCGAATCACCAAGGCATCCCTGTGAGGAGAAGAAGTAGGGGGGAGATCTGCGTTGGTGAAGGTGATGGGTTCCTCCCTCAGTCGCTTTACCGGGGGCATATGAGTGACTTCCCCCACGTAAAGCGATTGAGCCCACTTCTTTCGCTGGCTGGTGGAATCGGCCCCCTGTATTGCCACCGGTGATCATGAGGATGTGGCGTTTTTTCTCCTGGTAGTGGGGGTATTCCTCCTCCTCTTCTTCCAAGTTTCCAATCTTCCTCTTCTTGCCGAGGGGGATGGTATTCGGGTTTACCCAAGCGTTCACCTTCGTGTGGTGCCCTCAGGGAGGCCCCTGATGAGAAGGTCCCTCCTGCCGAGGGCTCTGAACAAATTGGGACAGGTGCCCCGCTTGTATTAACCTCTCGATGGCCGTCTTTAGCTGATGGCAGTCATCGGTCCTGTGCCCCTGGTGCCGATGGAAGCGACAGTATGGGAACTGAGGGTTGATAGCATGTACCTCCGGGGGTGCGCGAGAGTCGCGCTCAATAAGGCCCCTCTCCTCGGCAAAATCGAGGATGATGCTGACGGGGTGCGTCAATGGTGTCCGAGGGCGGTCCAGGAGAATGGGATGTGCCCAAGTCTTTGGGTTGCTCTTATAACTTCCCCCGGGCTTGGCTTGGCCTTGCCAAGGGCGGTCATCAGAGGGTCCTGAAGACTTGGGGTGGTTTGGAGGAGCTCCCGGCCCTCAGTTATGCTTGTTGTCAGCCCTCGGGGGCTGCTGGTCCGGATGCTGGTGATACTTTTCCACCTCCTCGGCCTCAGCATATCGGTCCCCCCGCTGCAAAGCCCTTATGTAGTCGCGGGGGGGTTCAATGATGAGGCTCCTTGAAAAGTTGCCGGTGCGGAGGACGGTTTGTAGGAGGGCCAGGAGGGTCCCGTCATGAGCACCGTCGACTTTGTCGGCTTCCGTCCTCCAGCGCTCCAGGAAGTCCCGAAGGGTCTCATCCCTCTTTTGGCGTATTGTTAGGAGGTGGGAGAAGTGCTTCCTTGTGCGACGCCTCCCGGCAAATTGTGTCAAGAATCGCTGGGCGAGTTCTTGCCACGAATCAATGCAGCCCTCGGGCAGCCTGTTGAACCATTCGTATGCCGGTCCCTCAAAGGTGGAGAGGAACCAACGACACAAATATTCGTCCGACGCCCCTACCATCATCATGCTGTTCTGGTATTTGCTGTAGTGTTCCTGGGGGTCCGTTTTTCCGTTGTAGGGATGTATGTGTTGCCCTCGGTATTTTTCCGGGATCCGGGTCGCCAATACCCTTGGGGTAAATGGCGTCCGAGTCCGGAGCTGGATGACGGGTTCCCCGGAGCCCTCGGCCACCTTCTTCTGTAATTCCTCCATTTTGGCCATCATGGCCTCGTATTTGAGGTCTGAATGAGGGGTGGATGTGGTGGCGTGAGCTTTGTTGGACTCCATTTCGTCAAGCCGGCGTTGGAGGGCCACGATAATTTCGTCCCGGGGGTCCTTCGGGAGGGTCTCCGCCCCCTGAGAAAGAACCTGGGCCGAGTGGGCCTGGTTGATTTGGTGGCGAGCATCATTGGCATGAAGGGGTGCCTTGCCTTTGTCCCGAGGGGGACGCTCCTCGTCTGCCCTCGAGACAGACCCTCCACTTTCCTGGGGCCTTTGGAGTGCCTTTCCTCCGAGGTGGTCTTGGACCCCTCGGCGGTGTGGCCCTCCTCCGAGCCGATTGAGGGCGGAAGTGCGGGGCCTCTCCCTGTTGTCATTGTGGCGATCCTGGGACTGTACTTCCTGGGAGGACGTGTCCTGGGCCGCTACCCCTTCGTCGTTCCTCACCCGAGGGGTGGGATTTCCGAAGGGGTGTGGCGGAGGGGGAAGTATGATGTTTTCCCCAACCTGGGGGTGAGCCGGAGCCAGGGTGCCGAAGGCACCCGGGTTCTGAGTGAGCGTTTGGATGAAGGCGGAGAGCGCCGATTGTACGTCGATGGTGAGAACCGGAGGGCTGACTTGGTCATCGCTCCGGTTTTTCTTCTTGGCCTCGATGCCGAGGCGGGCATCAGGGGCATTTTGTTGGATCTGAAGGCGTAAGTCGACAGCCGCCTGTTCCAGCCCAGCGATGACACCGCCCTCGGGAGCCCTGTGAGAGGCTTCGGGGGCGTTGACGTCGCCGAGGGCCAGGTTCTTGTCTTCTACGTTCTTTGAGTTGGCACGTGTTGTTCTCACCATTTTAGCTAGGTGTTTTGTGTTTGGTCGAGGGGGGGGGGTTTCTTACTTGATTGTTCGACCTCTCAACGAGAGCACCAAATGATGGATAGTCTACCCGGGGGTATATATCCGGAGGGTTATTGCGGGGAATAACTTAGAGAGAAGTCAGAGCGAGTAGGTAAATGTAGAGAGAGTGTATGCAGTATGAATGTCGTGGTTACAAACGGGGAAATGGGGTGCTATTTATAGTAGCAATAAATGTCGGGCAGGGACACGTGTCAAGCGCCTATTGGCCGGGGGGTCACCTCAACTGGTTGGCGTTGGCAGCCGCATGTGGCCGCATTTAATGCGGCTGTTGGATGGGACGTCTGTGCAGGGTACGGTGATCTGCACGCATGTGAGGCGGATATCATGTCGGGAGAGGTGCCCTCGACTGCAGAGGACTAGCCGAGGGCTCTTAGTGCTGAGGGGCCCTGAGTGCCGAGGGCTCACAGTGCTGAGGGCTACTGTTTTCGCCGTTTTCTTCCAGTTCCTCTGTTTGTTCGAAATATCCATGCTGTGATAGTTTGGAGCCTTCGGCCAGGGGGCCGAAGGCACCCCTGGTGCAAATTGTGGGCTGCTTGGTACTCTGGGCGCCGTGATTTGGGCCTGTTGGGCCTCCTGGGCCTGTTGGGCCTTCATTGGTGTAGTAGGAGTCTGTGGGCCGGGTGTTCCCGGGCCATATACTCCATCAGCAAGTAACCTGTAAATGGACTCAATTGAATGATTTTACAAAGTTCGGGAATTTGATTGATTTTTTTAAAAGTATGAGGACCTAATTGACTTTTTCGTGGTAATCCAAGGACCAAATTGACAGTTTTCCCAATCAGATTTAAACAAATCAGACTTAAATAAATTGGATCGGACCAGATTTCAGCAACACAAAGATCAAATATTTATAAGACCAAACCACACTATACTTTAACAATTCCGACAAAATTAGAACAAAAACTTTCAAAAACATCCTAAAACACAACGAAACTGGTTTACAATGGACCGTAAAAAAGTACAACCTTTAATTGTTTAACCTATCTTTGCTCATGATTTTTGTTTTGGTAATATTGTTGTCAAACCCATTATGTGTAATTATTAGGAGGTAGTTAAAATCAATTTTAAAATGAAATTTTTTAATCACAACATTTCAAAAATGCGACCTAGTAAAGGAATTATAACTAAGGCTTATGTCCCTTGGTTGAGATATCACTGGACGTAGCAGTTACAATGGGAGGAATAATTGGGGAGATTGAAAAATGACGATTTGACTTATTTTAGTATTTTGGATTAGTGTAAAATGTTATTGAAAAATGATATTGGGCAAAATGTTAGATCCTGGCGTTTTGGATGGAACAGTTGAAATTAAAATGTGCAAGTATGAGAGTTTTGGATTAGTGTCTTGAAATATGACATGTTCTACTAATTGTTATGGTCAAAAGCTAAATTATCAAATATTTTCTGGCAATCCCGTCAACTTATTCTACTAGTCAACCCCACGACTGAAACCGTTATTGACAACCCGCTAACATAATCCGATATATGCTAATTGTTAACTGCTAAATACCAAACAAACCCAATAATTATGAGGTGATTAGGATGGGGTGAGCAGAAAGGCGGACACAATTGGAGCAATTATGCATGACTAGGGAAGGGAAGTTCACAAATTGAGGTTGACATTTTGTAATTAGACTTGGTTTAAGTTATAATTTTCATGTACAAGTATATATAAAAGGATGATCAAATAATATTACATGCCTAGAAAGAAGCCATAGTAGATGAAATTTGAGTAGATTCCCTAGGAGTTAAAAATGGCAAATATTTCTCAAATAGATAAATCATTGTTTTATTCTTTAAATATGCATGACTTGTGTACTCCTATTTAAGGTATTTTTTATATTTTTATTCTTTCAATAGAAAACACATTTGTTCCTATTTTAGAATTTTCTCTATGTTGTAGTCTTATTTTGAATAATTTGTTCCAAAAAAATTATAAAATGTCAGATTATATTATATATGTAGGGGGTTGGGTATTTGCTCCCACTGCTCCACTACCTTACCCTGGGTGTGGGAATAGAAAAAAAAAGGATGACACCTCATCCCTGAGGGACCCCAATCCCGATCGAACGGTACGTCGGGAGGATATAAATTGGATTATAATCCCAATCTGACAGATAGAGAGTGGGGCTCTGTCTCCGGTACTTGCAGAGGCCTTATGCATTTTTAGCATAGTAACCACTCATCGCATTTGTCGGGATTCGAACTCGGGACCTAACTCTTGTGCCACTCTCTTGGTACCAGTTGAGCTACGTCCACCGGTTAGGTGTGGGAATAGAATGGTCATAGGACCGCTCCTATAATATAGCGACCGCCTCTAAGCTAAATGTTGACGTGCAAAACACGGGCGACGGATTAGTTGACTAATGGAGTTAATAATGACAAAACATTTTTTCTTACACAGAGTTATTGATGATTAAAAGCACAAAAACAAAATAGCTTAAATAAACGCGCGAACCATCCTTTGTCATTTCAAAAAACTGTTTATAATTATAAATATCGTGCGTAGGTTTAGATTTAGAAATCTACACTAGCAGACAACTTCCGATATTTGCGAAATTAGAGCTGGATAATCATATAGGAGTAATAAATTTAGAAGCAAATAACGCTGATTCCAATTTAAGAACTCTGAGAATGATGCAACTGGAGGATGTTTGCAAGTAAAAGCTTTACAAAACTGTCGGCAAAAAAAAACCAATATGCACGTCCAAAAGAGAAATAAATGCACATACTAACTGTATAGTATTATTTATTTATTTATTTATTTATTTATTTATTTTTATTTATTTCTTTACTTGCCTATTACTTCATGTATAGAGTTCTAAATTCCTTTTAGTTCTAAATTTTAGGTAAAATGAAGGATAAAGTATACATGAATAATATATATGTTCATTTGTCAAAAGAGTAAACATAGGGGTGTTTGGATTTGATTCTTAAAAGTGTTTCTGCTCATTCAGGCAGCAGAAGCAGAAGTTGAAGTGTTTGGGTAAAAGTGCAGAAGTGATTCTGGTGCTCTAATTTACTCTTAGAATCAGTTTTTTTAGAAACTGGGGGTGACCATCTTCTGAAAATTGATTCTGATTCTGCTTCTGCTTTAAAAAAGAAGCATAATCAGAATCAGTTCCAAACACCCCCATAACCTTTCATTTTTTAGGATAGTACAAAAATGAAATCTGTAAGTATGTACTTCATATGTTGAGTATGTTCAGGGCCGGTTCTGGGGCATGGGCAACGGGGCATGCGCCCAGGGCCCATTGCTCGGCTAGTGCCCATAAATTTCTCAGTTATATATATACATTTTTATTTTAATTATATATCTATAAAAAAAATTAAAAAATCACTTATAATTTCTTATACTTTCAATTCATTATTCAAAAACATCTACAAACTACAAGTTTAAAATTTTGAAACTAAACATCCACACTAGAATTCATTGGAAACAAACTTCACCATTTCTTTTGATTCATTAAGAGTTAGCACATAAATGTTAATTTTTTTATATACTTCTCTCATGTAAACTCATACTCCCTCCGGTCCCTATTAAAACTCCCAGTTTGACTACACACAGATTAAAAAAATAAATTTGACTTTACTATGGAGTGCACTGTTTGGCACTTTTTGGACACTGTTTCGCGCTGTTTGGCACTGTTTTGCACTGTTTTGTTTTCTACAATGGAAGTGTGAACTTAAATAAGGTTATAAGGGACATCCCAAAAAGTAAAGTGGAACTTTAATAGGGACCGGAGGGAGTACTTCATTGATACTCCGTAGTATTTTGCTATTTTTCTTTAATTCTCTCATGAAATGAAAGAATTAATAAATGTGATTTGAAATATGAATTTTTTTCTTCATATAAGATATAACTTTCACATGTTTCCCTAATTCAAAATTCTTTATGGCAAATACAAATCGTACTACTTTTCGATTATGCCGGTTTAGTTACATAGTATTCTCGGATGTCACTAACCAAATATTTAAATATAATCTTTCTAACCGTCTCATTTATTAATTTATTTGATGTGTTATACTCATATTTATATAATAAAATTGCTCAATTTTACTTATAGTTTTTTAAAAAAACATTCATACATTATCCTTAAGGTCTACTCTATCTATAATGTCTCAGGCCCATAAAATGTCAGGACCGGACCTGAGTATGTTTAAATGAAATAGTTAACTGCAGGTTTGTGAGCACAAGTAATAGGAAGAATGAGTAGGAAAGGTAAAGTGGGTCAAGTTCTATTAATGTCTTAGAACGATTAGAGCATCCACAATGGTGATGGGTTTTGACTCATTGCTTTCTCTTCCACGTCACTTCCCTCCAAAAAAAACTTAATCCTCTCTAATCTATCACTTTTTCTCCCCACTATGGTGACCTAGGTCACTTAAAATGTTTACACCCTCTCTCCTTATTTTTGGTATATTCCACCTTTATTAATTTATTTAATTTGAAAAAAGGAATACAAAATCCATATTTGGCCAACTATAATTATTTATTGTGCATAAATAAATAAAAAAGTGTTTTAAAAGAATGGTTACACCCATAATTCATATTTGACGCATAATACTATTTTACAATTTATTTAATAATGGTCTTACATGTAATGGACCAGTAGCATGAGAATATTCTACAGAAATGGAATTATTTTGCAATAGCTGCATAACTATTCCAAAATTCGGATGAGCAGGATCAATTTGAAAATTTCTTACGGAAGATTGTTGTGCAGAATGAGGAATTCTTTGGAATGGGGGGGCTGTTGGTGTAGTATCTGGGGGGAGAACGGTTTAGATCCATTTTCAGGTAGAAAAAAATTCTAAAACAGATAAAATCAAATGCAAGAGGGAAAAAGTGGTGGATTTCAAAGTGACTAAACATATCCTTCATTGTTGTCTATTTATAGAAGGAAAAAAGTCTGATTTTTTGGTATAACATTTTTTGTAAAATAAATTAATTTAATACATAAAATATTAAATTAAAGAGTCTGGGGGTAGTTGGTGGGGTTTGTGGCTAGATTAAAAGAAAAACGTCAGATTCCATTTTTTATCTAGCAACTTGATCGATCACAAGGTGAGCTTCTATAGTCGGGGTCAACCCCCATTACTTTTGTTTTATGATCTAAGTTGACCCTCCATTGTGGGTGCTCTTACAGCTAGGGATGGCAACGGGACGGTTCGGGGTCGGGTATACCATTACTCGTACCCGTCCCGTTTGATAAAAAATTTTCCCGAAACCACCCCGTTACCCGTCGGGTATTTTTTATCCGCGAGTAACGGTTTTTCCCGCGGGTAACGGTTTCCCTACGGGTAACCGTTTTATTAAAAGATAATTTTTTTCTTCAAAATTAGTATAAATCCTAAAATGATGATTAACTACTTATAATTGACCACCTAAATTAAAACAAATCAAAATTAAATAGCACCACAGATAAAGTTTTTTAAAACATCACAAAAAATTACAATCGTTTGAACCTAATATTCACAAATTATATATGTCTAGATTCAAAATTATGAATCTCTTACCACATCAACATCAAAAGATTAAGTCTTGTCTCGATTGTAAAATCTAAATATGAATCAAAAAAACATTTAACTTCCAAAAAACCAATAAGCATACCCCACCAGCATTCAACATCTAAATTTAAGAACAGTAATGTATACAAGTAACATAATGAAAATGGGAAGTTTTTTCCTAAAATATTACTAATAAAAAATATGTTGACATAAATGTGACTATAAGTTACCACGGGTAAGTTTTATAGTCACTACGATATAACATTTGAATAAAATTATAAACACTAAAGTTACTAGAGTCGCATTTTTGTCCACAACTTTAATTTTGATTATAGATGTGGAATTATTTCTAAAAATGTACTTTTAATACTATGATTTAGGTATTCTTGTATTTATTGTTTTAGAAACCTCAAAATTTAAATTTAAAACTTGATATAAATTAGAACAACCAATCAAAATTTATCTAATCATCCAATACACTTCTACAAAATTATTAACAATTACATAAATTAAAGCAATCTAGAGTAATGTTTCCCAATATTTGGACTTTAAACTCACATGTGAGCTTTATGAAAGTTATGAGGTTAAAAATTAAGAGAGTCACAATGTGAAAATTGTGTACAGAAAATCACGAAAATCAAATAATCCATATGTGAAGAAAATAAATCTTATAAAAGTTAACAAAGGAAGGATGATGAATGATATTGAAAATTTAAAATCTAAAATAGTGAACTTTGAGCACCAACTCCTCAGAATTGCAAAGGATAGCCGATTAGTTGAATATTTTTCAAAAAATTAGAGAGAATAAGTGTCATATACTAATGTACTACTATTCATATATACTTAATATATTAAATAATAAATACATAAACTATTAAAATGTGTAAGTTAATTTTGTGAGTCGGGTAATGGTGCGGGTAACCGTATGCAAATTAAACGGGGCGGGTAACGGGGCGGGTAGGTATAAACTCATAACCGCCCCATTACCCGTTTACATAAATCGGGTATTCCCCGCCCCATAGCCGTTACCCAGTCAAAGCGGGTTTCCCCATTTTGAACGGTTCGGTTCGGTGCGGGTATCCATCGGGTCGGGTTAAATTGTCATCCCTACTTACAGCACACCCTTACAGGGCCGAACGCTGAATCTCTATTCTAATTAAGCCGCGAGTATACAGAAGAAGTAGAGGATAAACTAAAGCTATTGAATACAAGTTGCCATTTACAAAAAGGCTAAAGGGTCAAATAGGTCCCTGTACTCATATCAATAGCTCAATTGGGTACCCGAACTAAAAAAAGGTCCAATCCAATCCTCCGACTCTTCAAAATCGTTCAATTTTTTCGTTTAGCCGGTAAACTCCCGGTACTCAATTGAGCTATTGATATAAGTACAGGGACCTATTTGACCCTTTAGCCTTTGAAAAAACGAAAACATTGAACGATTTTGAAGAGTTGGAGGATTGGATTGGACCTTTTTTTAGTTCGGGTACCCAATTGAGCTATTGATACGAGTACAGGGACCTATTTGACCCTTTAGCCTTTACAAAAATGCCACTTTTATAGAATTATATTTATCAAGATGGCATTAATATTTTTAATTTATTTTTCAATTTTCATTTTCTTCTCACATTTTGCATTTCCAATTTTAGTATGATGATTATGAATATGCAAATGCCTAATTTTTTTATCTAAAAGTTATGGATTACATGCTTTCACACATGAAGATGTCATGTTTTATACGGAAAATTGTTATTATGTCACTATTATTCTTATCAAGCTAGCATTCTCTTTGGAGGCGGTCAGGAAGGGACCTTTGGCGGCGATTCGTTGGAAGATGGCAGCGACGAACACGCCAAAGGGTGGCACTGGTGGCGGTCTTGCCATTGGTTTTGGCAGAGGCACCGCCGGTGTTTGCCGTTGATACTAAGGCGCAGCTGGTCTCTAATCTATTTTGTGTTTAATTATTAAGACTTGGACCTTCATTAAAAATTAAGGAGTATATTTTTGAAGCTAATATACTTTTATCCCCATATTTTTGAATCTTATATATGTGCTCTTTCATTGTTTTGATCTTAGGGAATTCTCTGTTTCGTTTTTGTTTTTCCATTGCAGTATTTCAATCTCTTATGCTTCGGAGATTTAGAGCCCATTTAGTAACCCTGTTTTTCAGCTTAACAGGTTTATCGGTCAATTTTTTTCACCAAACGCGTAATAAGTTTTGATTTCGCGCGCTGAATTGTGTATTAATAAAAAAAGTAAGGTTATAGTTACTTTTGTGATTGTATTGACTGAAGTTGTTGGAGATGACCACTTTAGCTATTCTTACATACTCCTTCCGTCCCATATTTAACTCCGGTTTTGACCGGACACAAGTTTTAAGATAGTGGGATTATAAAGGAGATAAATTTGGGACGGACCGTAAAGGAAAGAATGAAGATAATTCTGAGACGGAGGGAATATAACTTTTTCATTATTTTACTAATGAAATATATTTTAAATATAGTGTTTTCACAAATCAGCGGAATCAGTCAATCCGACGACTTCAGCCAGATTTCATAAATTTCACCAAAATCAACCGATTTAGCCGATATTGATATTACCAAACAGGCTCTTAATTTAATTTAACAACTATTTTATCATCACTTACAAGATAATACTCCGTATTAATTAATTAAATAAATAACAAATATGGAGATTTATCATAAGTTCCACACGAGCAACCATTCCACCAAGATAATAAACCGTGCATCAACATATCAACCGAACAAGATACTACAAAAACATTAAAAAGTTGAAATCTATTTGAAATTAATATACAACTATATATTAGGTTGGAAAAAAAAATTAACAGGCCTAAGATTGGTGCCCCTCTTGCTTCACCCCCTTAGGTTCAGCCATCTACCCAAAAAAGGTGGAATTGGGCGCCCTCACACATCCGACACAACCCGACAGAATGGTAGATATATAGTAAATTATGATATGATTTCAAATAGTTTTTTAGGGGGTGAAAATATTTTTTAGGGGGTTCAAAATATTTTTTGGGGGGAGAAAATTATTTTTCATATATATATACTAAAAAAATTCTTGTTGTGGGACGATTGTCCCCATGGGTCTGTATTACGGTCCGCCCCTGTCTTGCATGCACAAGGACTCTCCATATTGAATAAAACTACTCCTACACTGGTGTTGCCAGAAATTCGATCTGAAATCTCAATCTAATCGACTTAATTACTTAGCCACCATTGAGCTACCCGATCAATTTACAAATCTTATTCTACACTTAGGTCGGCCATGTACATACATATATATTCACAGTACAGGACTAGCTACGAGCGCATTAAAAAAGGCAGGATCATTATTAAAAGGACAAGCTAATAAGTAGCTAAGCAAAATTAATTATCAAACACTTAATTAATTGGATGGTGCGGAATATCAATTAGAATGACGACTTTTTCTTTATAGTTTTACTTTTATAGGCATAAATGTACGACGGTGATATGATATTTCATGCAACATCTATCACTAATTAAAAGTGTTTAATCAATTTAAAGTATTTAATCAATTTCTGATCTAGCTTAGCTTTGTGGCTCGCTCTAGCTATGTCTAATGTCTGTATCCTCTAACTTCCATCAACCTCATTGCCTTATCTTCAATCTTTTTTTTTATCTTGGTGGGCCCAGCTGAAATGGTCTTATTTATACGATGTATGTGGGGAATGAGTTTATAGCTAAGTCATGCATATCTGATCTGAATATTTAGTTGGATATATTGTACAAAGTTAGCAATAAAATCTTGCATTGTTTTCATAACTATTCAAGAAGTGGATATGGCGGCTTATCTTCATCATCAGCAGATACTTCTTTCTGTTCTTCTTACTTCTTTGATGTGTTCAAGATTATGCTATGCTCAGGGTCCGCCTTCTCCGGGCTATTACCCAAGTTACAAAGTTGGATCCATATGGTTCAACCAGTATTTTAGCAGTTATTGGGGTTCTCAGCATCAATCTCTTGACCAGCGTGGAACTTTAGCCATATGGCTCGATCGAGCCACAGGTATTGTAGCACATTTTATTATAGAAAAGTGGGGATTGATGTTGAAGTATTCCTCGGGTTACTCCTAGTATCAGGTTACCTTTTAGAGCGGAAGTATAAGTCTTAAAAGAACTATGCTCGTTGCGCCAACGAACATATAATGCCTTGTGCAGAAGAGATTCGATCTCTTTCAACCACGTTATAATTCAATTTGAGTACATCTTTCCTCATAGATTTCTTGTTTGAGATTATACTCTTCACCTAAAATGGTTTAACTCTCAAAGTGAAGTTCCAAATTAAAATAAAGAAGGTTGTTTCCCTTAGCTTGGATTTTGAGCTCATAAGTAGATGCTACATCCGTCCCAAATTGATTTGAAAATTTGACTTTTTTTGGTCAAAAAGTTTCATTTTATTTGCTTAATTGGGATGTAAAATTTTAATTATATTCTAATTTGGAGTTTACGACTTCGAAAAGATTTTAATGTAGTTTCTAAATATATAAATTTTAATTATTAGAAATTGAATTAATTATCGATAAGAAGCATTGACTTTGCAAAATAATTTGTGATGGAGGGAGTATAACATTTGAATCACTAAACTTTTAGGGCATGAGTTTTAATTCAAAAGATTCAAAAATACCCCGTACGTAGTTGGTAAAGCCTAATTCCAAATCAGATATTTGATTGAAATTAAAAACGTCATTTTCTTGTTTTCGTGCTATATAGTACCTCCGTTCTATTCTAATTGCAACATTGGACTTTTCACACTATTCACATATTCTACTTTGACTATATTTTATTTATTGGTGTGTTATAAGTTAATTTTTTAAAAATTGTTTTTAAATTCTTCTTTTTCTAAATTTTTAAAATCTGTTTTTTTTTTTAATTTTTTACTAATAAGGAACGAAATATATTAATGATCACACTTATGCGTTGTCAAAAATTGAGAAGTGTCTGATTTCCTTTACAATTTTTATGACAAACTTTTGCTTGCATATTTTCAACGAAAGCATATTTTTGTCACAACTGGTGGGTGGGGAGGGGGCCTGGTTACCTTAATTATAACCAGGTTGTCTCTTCTGTACAATTTGTCTTTCCTTTGCGCGTTATTAATAACTTATTTTAATTAACATTTTAACAAAAAAAAAAACTTATTTTAACATTTTAATTTATTAATGTGAAGGTTGGGGAAAAATAAAATGCATGTTTCTTAGTTAGATTGGAGTCCTTTATTATATCTGCCCAAATAAATGACAAGTATACACTTCAAAACACTGATATACTACTAGTAGTCTACTGCAACTACTGTGCTTGTATCGTTTTCGCACCTCAGCCTTTTAACGTATTACGGAGTACAATGGTACATTCAAATTATTCAATTAATCGTATCATAATCGGTTTACGTAGCTCAACTGGTAGTGAGGGATCGAAATTGGGATCCTCACGAGGTGTCATCCTTTATCAATCATATTCCTCATTCAAAATGAAGTCCACGTGCTTATTGTACTTTTATTGTCTCTATTATTAATCCGTAATAATTATTTTCTTGTTCCATATTTATTTTCAGTTTGCAAGTAATAAAATCGATTCACGATGTTCTCAACCACACAAATGATTCAAGATAGAAATATTCTATTTGTGGATACTTAAATCAATTCTAATAATTAAAGTCTGTATATTTAGAAACTAATACTTGCATAAAAAGTAATCAGAACATATGATAAAAATTAATATCTTATATAAATATATAATACTCGGCATGTTGACTACGAAAAGTAGACTAAACAAATCATTTTGATACTGATGGTGTATTGTTTAAAATACTCCGTATGTATTTATAAAATAAATAATAAATTTTTATTCAAGTGAGAAAATTCCAAAAATAGGATTAAAACATGGATAATGTCATACATAAACACGATTATCAATGTTTCTTTTCTCAAAATATGACTCATCCACTATTTTTTGAGAAATTTTAATCATGTTATTCTTTTAATAGGATAAATGAGTCTTATTTGTGAAATAAAACATACTAAGTCCTATTTTTGAATTTTGTGTTTGTTTTGATTCTATATTGAGTAATTTCTAAATTAATAATCGACGCTCACAGTTTTAATATTAGATGAAGAAAGCTAGTACACAGCGGTGATATATATTTACACGTTTCAATATGGTCATAATCATGGCAATGTTTACACATGGAAGACTGAAATGGCTTATCAAACTATTTGCATCATTTTTTACTTGTAACAATTCATCTTCATTATTACGCTTACAGAAATTGTCGGAGTAAAAACGCTTTCAAATTTCAAAATAGAAGTATCATGTTTTTTATTCCCTAAATAGGATTAATATATCAAGTTTGAGATAAAATGTCATGTTTTAAAGCCTAATAATGCCAAACTTGACAAAAATGTACTCATATATTCAAGGAATAAAAAATATGATAATCCTATTTTGGAATTTCAAAACTTTTTTACTCCATAATTCTCTCTTACACTTACCTAAACAGGGTAGTTCCCGTAAATATATGTTCCGTAAACAGAAATTTATTACACGTACTATTTAGAAAAGAATTGGATACCTATTTAAGATTTTAAGGATACCAGTATACCACCTTATTTTTAATTCATATTTTTAAATAACCATTTTTTTTGCGGGAAAAATACCAAATTATTTTGAGCGTGAAATATATTGTTACATTGTACTCTCTTATGGTAAACACTACGTACACATTAAGTTTATTTATACACCAATACATTATTTAGTTCTCATATACGTAGTATAATACTCTGTTGCAATTAATTAAAGAGTAATATTACTCTAGCTTTAATATTGTTAGTTCTACTAACCAAGTACCTAAATATAATGGATTCAAGCCATGTTTTTTTTTTTGTAAAATGAAAAATGGAATGACATTCAAGTTAGCCATGATATGATGCTCAATAATTGATATCTTTAATTACTATTTTTATTGAATCAAATACAGGAAGTGGGTATAAATCTCATCGTCCATACCGATCAGGCTATTTTGGGGCTTCCATCAAGCTTCATCCCGGATATACGGCTGGTGTTATTACATCATTTTATGTGAGAACTTCTAGTCTTATTAATTTATACTCCCTATATACTTTTTTTAAAGTATGTATATAAATAAGACATTTTTCCCAAAATATTACTAGTATTAAAATGAAATTTATTTTAAAAAATATAACTAATGGTTACTACAACTTAGTCATTTAAGCCTAACAAATGAACATAAATTACTACAATTAGGAATTAGACCTTTTATCAAGAATTAGACAAAAATATGATTTGTTTCAAAATTTTCGAAAATAATGACTAGTTCATAGTGATTCATCATTAACAGTGACTTGTCATTCTAAAATACATTTTAGTGACTGGTTCACGTGACTAGTCATATTTTTATCAAAAAACACATATAGTCATATTTTTGTCCGGAAAAACTCTATTAGTAATATACATGTCATTTTTAGATTGAATATTATAGTTATTAAATAGGACGTTACATTTTTATAAATCATATTTATTCAATTATATGTGTGTAATTAATTCTATAAATAATGCATGATTAATTAATGGAATTGCACGGTGTGTACGTTGAATATGTAATGAAGCTGTCAAACACGGAACAACATCCTGGGACCCACGATGAGATCGACATAGAGTTCCTTGGAACGACGCCGGGGAAGCCGTACACCTTGCAAACCAATGTGTACATCAGAGGGAGTGGAGACGGAAACATCATCGGACGGGAAATGCGGTTCCACCTGTGGTTCGACCCCACCCTATATTTCCACCATTATGCCATTCTTTGGAATCCTGACGAGATCATGTATGTTTTTCCCCTTAAGCGTCCATTCAAACACCTACTCCGTATATATTTCAGCTTTTTTGTCATTTGGTTATTAGTTATTACCAACTCCCCCTTGTCCCTTAGAGCTTTTTCAAATTTGATTAGTACGAAGTATAAGAATTACTTAGACTGTCCCAAAAAAATAATCTTTTACTTTGTTTATCAAACTTTTATCAAACTTAAATTTTCTTGATCAGACTTTATAGTAGATTTAATATAGTTTCTAAATATGTAAATTTAATTTACTAAAAATAATCTGAGTGTGAACAAGGATCAAGTTGCTTTATCGTCAGTCAAACATCGTAAACCGAACTATGGAGATAAATATGGGACGTAGGGAGTAATAAAGTAAAAACCGTGTGCTTAAGATTTGTGTTTAACATTTCATGGGTTTTGATTTATTTAATTTTTATTAATTCCATTACTACTTTTTTATAAAATTTTGTTCACAAAAATTTATTAGTTTAATAAAACTAAATAATATTTAAAATTTTAAATTAAAATAATAATAAAATTCATGACAACTTAAATTCTAGATCGATAGTTTTCAATCATTTAGGTCTTAAATTGATAGTTTTCCATTATCCGATCTTATATCAATATATTTCGGTTTTCGGGCTCCATATTGATAATTAATCTATCTTTTGAGTCCTAAATTGATAAAATTCCTTAATTATATTCATATCCGGAGTATAGTAAAAAATTGAGATAATTTCTCACATAGAAGTAAAACAGGGAGGAAGTGCAAAATGATGGGTAGTTTTTAAAATTCCCAAATTGGACCACTTTTTCAATTGTTCCAAACATTGTTCCAAATCTCCCACCACTCGACCAATTAGACAACTTTTTCAATGTTGGATAAGGATACCCTTGCAGGCGTTGGGCTAGCCATCAAAGTGTGTCGACCGCCATTCACCACGACTACCACTCGATAGCCCCCACCATTTCTCTATAAAATTATTTGAATTTGCACCCTCGTTCATAATTTTTAAGTTGGTAAGGTGCACACCTTAATGATTTTGAGAATGGAATGTAAAATCAAATATCACCCAAAATTAGGGTACAAAGTCAATCCCCCAAACTTAAAAGTGAAACAACTTAGTATGTTTTTACTTGGACTAAAATTTTCTGGTCTAGTCTGATCTGCTATGATCTATTTTGAACTGGTCTGGTTTGATCTGATAAATGTCTGGTCTTTGTGTATTTTACAAATATCCAAATCTGGTCTGATCTGGTCAATTTTGATTTGATCTAGTCTAGTATGGTCTGATCTGATATGGTGTGGAACTTAAAATAGTCCAAGTAAAAACGTCCTTATTTAAAACACCTTTGTTCATGAGAAAGATATCTCTAGTAATTGTTCTTTTAAAATATTCATTTTTTTTGCAAGTACCGGGGACAGAGCATCACTCTCTATCTATCAGATTGGAATTATAGTCCAATTTACATCCTCCAACGTACTACCGGTGGACGTAGCTCAACTGGTAGCAAGGGAGTGCCACAAGGATTAGGTCCCGGGTTCGAATCCTGACAACTGCGATGAGGGGTTACTATGCTAAAAAATGCATAGGACCTCTGCAAGTATCGGGGACAGAGCTTCACTCTCTATCTTTCAGATTGAGATTATAGTCCAATTTAGATCCTCCCAACGTACCGTCCGATCGGGGTTGGGGGACCCTCAAGGATGGGGTGTCATCCTTTTCATCAAGTATGAATGGACTAATACAACCCGTTTAGAGAAACAAAAAATGTCCACAAATTAGTTCTCCAAAACAGGAAAAACTATCCAAGAAAATAATTAATACGGAGTAAGAAAAGTACAGGTTACCAATAATTTCGGTAACCAATAATGTGACTCCCAAGTTCCTACTCTAAATTTGACAAAATTACGTGACCATGTTTCTTGCTTACTTTCTAGTATAATTCCAAATTAAAGTAGTGCTAAAAATAAATAGGGAAATAAGTTTAATCCGATCAAGTAATCTAAAAAAAGTACTAGTCATGTAATCAAAACGAAAACAGGTTAATTTATTTTAAAAAAAATAAAGGACTTCTTTTGTAGTCCTCAAAATGTGTAGTTCACTAATTTAATCTGGATTCAGTTAAATAAGTTAATAAATACGTAAACCTAACAAATTTGTTACGATATCCTTCTCAGTTCCCACATAGGATAGGAATTAACTAGAAAAATTAATTCAGTAGTGAGAAATTTGGAACATTGATCAATGTTCGAAATCCGCAGCGGCCGTATGGAGGTTACAACTTCTGCTTGATGGGCTGGACCTCTAGCGCGCACGGGTATAAGGTCTATCATCATTTGATCGACTGAATCACCGTGACTTACATCCTGTCAAAAATCTTGTTCGATAAGGTGTGGGTCCTAACAAGAAAAGTTACACATAAGGGCACAAATTATTGACCAGTAGGTCACAGATATTCTAAAATCATGCTCTATCTTCGTCTGATATGATACATTTGTTTGTATTCATTTATTTTCTACATACCCTATAAGTTCTTGTAGCCCCCATTGAAGCCAAACAATTTTGTTTGCTTTCTTTCCTTATCGTCCTTCAACTAATTAACGTGTCGGCTAACTGTTCCTCTTCGATGACGTCCACTGGCCGCAGATTTTATGTCGACGACGTCCCAATCCGACGGTATCCGAGAAAGATCGACGCCACGTTTCCACAAAGGCCTATGTATCTGTACGGCTCAATTTGGGATGCATCACCTTGGGCCACTGAGAATGGCAAGTACAAGGTTGACTATAATTACCAACCCTTTGTTGCCAAGTATACAAATTTCAAGATTTGGGGTTGCGACGAGCAGGCCGCCGTCTGGTGCCGCCCCGTGGCTAGCTCTCCGGTCGGGTACACGGGGCTGAGCCGCCAGCAGTATGTTGCCATGGAGTGGGTGCATAGGTACCGTAAGGTGTATGACTATTGTCAGGATTCGACTCGAGACCACTCACGAACACCAGAATGTTATTAAGTAATTTGGTAACTTCTATGGTACCCTACAAATCAGAAGGTTTTAGTACATCAAATTATTTATGTGTCTATTATTCGTCATATAATTTTACCGACTTCATATTACGTCATTTACTAATAAATTTGCTTGCATCAAGAATTTATTAGTTGTAAGGCATGATCACTAAGTTGGTGAAGTTATATGACTTATAGCCAATATAACATAAATTACGTGACTGAATCTATAAATAAATCTTCTTAAATTTGTTTAATTATTAAGATAGCAAAAAGGGGTAAATGTATAAAGATTGACCCCATATTTTCTTGATCAAATCAATTAGTTACAAGTCCATAAATATTTAGAAAAAAATCCACTTTTGGTCCCATGACTATTATACTACTTTCACATTTAATCTCTTACTTTCAGATTGTCCACATTTAGTCCGTGACCATTATCCCCTAATAATGGACTAAATGTGGAAGTGGTATAATAGTCACGGGACCAAAAGTGGAATATTTGATAAGCAATAAAACAATACTAAACCCTATGAAGTTGATAGGGTACCATAGAAGATCCTTCAAAGTTAAGGGTCATATCTTCAAGTTAATAAAGGCCTTGAGATGGCATGGGTTCCACTTGACCTGAGTGTACCAGCAGAGGGTTGTTGAAGCTAGCGTCCAAGCCTCTCCAGATATGATTGTGAAATTTGTAATCAATTTCGGCATTATTGTTTTCTTTTCTGTTGCAAAATATATCCTGTAAATATATATACACTCTGTAAAGATTGGGAAAAATCCAAAGGAAACACAAAGTGTTAATAATGTGTTGGTTACACATGTACCAGCAGCCATGTGTGTCATAGTGTCTGTGCAAATTTAAGTTTAATTTCCTTGTGTTTTAATTGTACACATTCCTTACTATTTTCATATTGTTCATGAATTCAAGTTTGAATATGTATATAAAACTTTCTGTTATCTGTTATCACTTGTCATATATGCACATTTTTTCCTATAAAATTAAAGCACAAAACTTAATTACAGTATACTAATTACCCACTAATTAAGATCGTAACTAAGTACCTATATGTATTTAATTTCATGTGACATATGATTTGAACCAATTATAAGAATACTTCTAGGAGAACAATTTAAACAATCTCTGCAGAGATTGTTAACTAATAGAGAGGGGATAAGCTAAGTAATTAAGTAATTTGACTCGTTCAATCAAGATTATAAATCAAGTTTGGAGTCCAAGAGACCACGACATTGGTTTTGCTGATTCAAATTGAATATGATATTTTCGAATTTTGGTTTTATTATAAGTAAAATGAACATATACATTTAAAAAAAAAAAATCATTCATTGGTCTTTTGTTGAGCTTTAAAGTGAGAACATTGACATTTGGCAAATATAACTCGGCAATCAAAGAAGGCCATCTAGAATCTCACCCAACTTTTTTAGGGGTAAAACGAAAACGGGAGTATTAAGACATGTGTCCATGTCTTATCTTCAAAACCTCTTGTGTTGGACCAAATTGTATCGGACACAATTTTCTCATTGTTGGGATCGTATTCCGTCTTTTCCGGCTCAGGTCTCCAACCAGTCTAACTCACATACACCACACTAGGGATGACCTCTTCACCACCAAGCTTCTTCTCTATCACTAAGTAACCTCTCTCTCACACACTCACACAAAGGTAGGAAAGGAAGAAGAAGTAGAGCACTGCTCTCTAGGGATACCTCTCGCAGGCTACTCTCTCAAGGAAGAAGAGAGCTACATAAATAATAGGCTGACCAACAATAATACACTCATGGGTGACTAAAACAAAAGAGTACAAGGAGGGGTGCAGCAGACAACAAAGAGGGGGCACACTCCAGGGAAGTCAACAACCATATTATTGGTTAGGAGTGATTTAAAACAAGGGGTAATAAAGTGGGAGTAAACATGGAGTGCAAGTCTGATGGAGTATATGGTCCGGGAACCCCCGGCCCACAGACTCCTACTACTCCAGTGAAGGTCCAACAGGCCCAGAAGGCCCAGCAGGCCCAAATCACAGCGCCCGGAGTACCAAGCAGCCCGCACTACGCGCCAGGGGTGCCTTCGGCCCCCTGGCCGAAGGCTCTAAACTCTCACAGAACGGGTTTCTCAAGCAAATTAAGAAACTGGGAGAAAACGGCGAAAACAGTAGCCCTCGGCACTGTGAGCCCTCGGCACCAGGGTGCCATCGGTTGGAGGAGCCCTCGGCTACTGCTCTATAGCCGAAGGCATCTCACTCGACAAGATATCCGCCTCACATGCGTACAGATCGCCGTACCCTGCACAGACGTCCCATCCAACAGCCACATTAAATGCGGCCACATGCGGCTGCCAGCGCCAGCCAGTTGAGGTGACCCCTCGGCCAATGAGCGCTTGACACGTGTCCCTGTCCGGCATTTATTGCTACTATAAATAGCACCCCATTTCCTCATTTGTAACCACGCTGAAAACGCTCCACATTTATAATACACTCTCTCTCTCTTACTTACTTATGCTCTGACTTCTCTCTAAGTTATTCCCCGCGATAACCCTTCGGATATATACCCCCGGGTAGACTATCCATCATTTGGTGCTCTCGTTGAGAGGTCGAACAATCGAGTAAGAAACCCTCCCCCTCGACCAAACACAAAACACTAGCCCCCTATCAAAATGGTGAGGACAACACGTGCCAACTCAAAGAACGTAGAAGACAAGAACCTGGCCCTCGGCGACGTCAACGCCCCCGAAGCCTCTCACAGGGCTCCCGAGGGCGGTGTCATCGTTGGGCTGGAACAGGCGGCTGTCGACCTACGCCTTCAGATCCAACAAAATGCCCCCGATGCCCGCCTCGGCATCGAGGCCAAGAAGAAAAATCGGAGCGATGACCAAGTCAGCCCTCCGGTTCTCACCATCGACGTGCAATTGGCGCTCTCCGCCTTCATCCAAACGCTCACTCAGAACCCGGGTGCCTTCGGCACCGTGGCTCCGGCTCACCCCCAGGTTGGGGAAAACATCATACTCCCCCCTCCGCCACACCCCTTCGGAAATCCCACCCCTCGGGTGAGGAATGACGAAGGGGTAGTGGCCCAGGATACATCCTCCCAGGAAGTACAGTCCCGGGACCGCCACAATGACAACAGGGAGAGGCCCCGCACTTCTGCCCTCAACCGGCTCGGAGGAGGGCCAGACCGCCGAGGGGTCCAAGACCGCCTCGGGGGGAAAGCACTCCAAAGGCCCCAGGAAAGCGGGGGATCTGTTTCGAGGGCAGACGAGGAGCGTCCCCCTCGGGACAAAGGCAAGGCACCCCTTCATGCCGATGATGCTCGGCACCAAATCAATCAGGCCCACTCGGCCCGGGTTCGTTCGCAGGGGGCGGAGACCCTCCCGAAGGATCCCCGGGACGAGATTATTGCGGCCCTCCAACGCCGGCTTGACGAAATGGAGTCCAACAAAGCTCACGCCACCACCTCCACCCCTCATTCAGATCTCAAATACGAGGCCATGATGGCCAAAATGGAGGAGTTACAAAAGAAGGTGGCCGAGGGCTCCAGGGAACCCGTCATCCAGCTCCGGACTCGGACGCCATTTACCCTAAGGGTATTGGCGGCCCGGATCCCGGAAAAATACCGAGGGCAACACATACAGCCCTATAACGGGAAGACGGACCCCCAGGAACACTACAACAAATATCAAAACAGCATGATGATGGTAGGGGCGTCAGACGAATATTTGTGTCGTTGGTTCCTCTCCACCTTAGAGGGGCCGGCATACGAATGGTTCAACAGGCTGCCCGAGGGCTGCATTGATTCGTGGCAGGAACTCGCCCAGCGATTCTTGACACAATTCGTCGGGAGGCGTCGCACAAGGAAGCACTTCTACCACCTCCTAACCATACGCCAGAAGAAGGATGAGACCCTTCGGGACTTCCTGGAGCGCTGGAGGACGGAGGCCGACAAGGTCGACGGTGCTGATGACGGGACCCTCCTGGCCCTCCTACAAACCGTCCTCCGCACCGGCAACTTTTCAAGAAGCCTCATCATTGAACCCCCCCCCCCCCCCCCCCGCGAGTATATAAGGGCTTTGCAGCGGGGGGACCGATATGCTGAGGCCGAGGAAGTGGAGAAGTATCACCAGCATCCGGACCAACAGCCCCTGAGGGCTGACAACAAGCATAACCGAGGGCCGGGGGCTCCTCCAAATCACCCCAAGGCTTCGGTACCCTCTGATGACCGCCCTCGGCAAGGCCAAGCCAAGCGCGGGGGAGGTTACAAGGGCAACCCTAAGACTTGGGCACAGCCCATTCTCCTGGACCGCCCTCGGACACCATTGACGCACCCCGTCAGCATCATCCTCGATTTTGCCGAGGAGAGGGGCCTCGTTGAGCGCGACTCTCGCGCACCCCCGGAGGTACACGCTATCAACCATCAGTTCCCCTACTGTCGCTTCCATCGGCACCAGGGGCACAGGACCGATGACTGCCATCAGCTGAAGACAGCCATCGAGAGGTTAATACAAGCAGGGCACCTGTCCCAATTTGTTCAGAGCCCTCGGCAGGAGGGACCTTCTCATCAGGGGCCTCCCCGAGGGCACCACACGAAGGTAAATGCTTGGGTAAACCCGAATACCATCCCCCTCGGCAAGAAGAGGGAGATTCCACCAGCCAGCGAAAGAAGTGGGCTCAATCGCTTTACGTAGGGGAAGTCACTCATATGCCCCCGGTAAAGCGACTGAGGGAGGAACCCATCACCTTCACCAACGCAGATCTCCCTCCTACTTCTTCTCCTCACAGGGATGCCTTGGTAATTCGGACGGAGATAAGCGACACCATCATTTACCGAACTTACATTGACACGGGCAGCTCCGTCAATGTAATGTACCTCTGCACCTTCAGAGAGCTGCATCTGGAGAGGGGGTCCCTTCGGCCCATTAAGACCCCTCTTGCCGGCTTCACCGGCGACACTATTGATTCCGAGGGGGTAATAACCCTCCCGGTGATCTTCGGCGACGGGCTCCATAGAGCCCAGCTCGAAGTGGAGTTCGTCGTCGTCAACATTGACTGCGCCCACAACATCATCCTCGGCCGGCCAGCCCTCAAGGACCTCGAAGCCATCATCTCCATGAGGCACCTCTGCCTCAAGTTTCCCGCCGAGGGGGGCATTGGCTACTCCCGGGGGAACCAGAAAATTGCCCGCGCCTGCTATCTTCAGGTCACTAAGAAGGTAAGCAAGACGGAATTCCGTGTTGACACCATCACCGGAACCATCGACCAAGAGGAAAGAAGGCCGAGGGCTGAACCGGCCGAGGACGTAGAAGACTTTGCGCTCGATCCGGCCCAGCCGGAGAGAGTCGTGAAGATTGGAGCCCAGCTCCCTGAAGATTTGAAGACCGGTATCACCGACGCCCTCCGCGCCTACTCCACTGTCTTTGCATGGGGGCCGGAGGACATGCCGGGAATCAGCCGAAGGGTCATCACCCACCGCCTCTCGGTTAACCCTTCGGCAAAAGCAGTGCAACAACGAAGAAGACCCCTCTCCGCCGAGAGAAGGGAATTTGTGAAGAAGGAGGTCGCCATGCTCCTCTCCATTAAGCACATCAAGGAGGTGAAATATCCCTCATGGCTGGCGAATGTAGTCCTCGCACAGAAGCCCCCTACCTTCCGCATGTGCGTGGACTACACCGATCTCAACAAAGCGTGCCCTATGGATCCATGCCCTCAACCGCTTTCTATCTAAGTCGGCGGAGAAGTATCTACCCTTCTTCCAGATCATGAGGAAGACGGCTGGCTTTCTATGGACTCCAGAATGCCAGGGGGCTTTCGACGAACTCAAGCGGTATCTATCTTCACCCCCTGTGCTATCAAAACCGAAGGTAGGGGAGACCCTCTATCTCTACCTTGGGGTCAGCCCGGCGGCCATCAGCTCTGTGCTCATCCGGGAGGAAGACGGCATCCAACATGCCATCTTCTACGTTAGCAAGACCCTAAGGGAGGCCGAACTCAGGTACTCCCCTGTGGAAAAAACGGTGCTAGCCATCGTTTGGACTGTCAAGAAGTTGGGCCACTACTTTCAAGCTCACCCGGTTCAGGTCCTCACTCATCAACCCCTCGGCGCCCTCATGAAGAGCCCCACCAGCTCCTCCCGCATGGTGAAATGGGCTATCTTCTTGAGCCAGTACAACATTGACGTCCGTCCAAGGCCTGCCATCAAGGGCCAAGCCCTGGCGGACTTTGTGACGGAATGTACCGCAAGGGCCGCCACGGACGGGGAGCCCTCGGCTACCTCGGACGGCTGGTGGACCCTCTTCACCGACGGCTCCTCCGCGACCAAAGCATGCGGGGGAGGGGTAGTCCTCATTACTCCCGAGGGCTTCAGAGCCTACTATGCAATCCGCTTCTCCTTCAAAGTCTCCAACAACGAGGCCGAATATGAGGCCCTCCTGTGTGGCCTTCAGCTGGCTGCCAACATGAGGGCTCGGCAGATCCACATCAAATGCGACTCCAAATTGGTCGTTGGCCAAATCTCCGAAGAATATGAGGCCAAGGAGGGGAGAATGAAACAGTACAAGGAAGCGGCCAAGGAGTTGCTTAAGGTATTTGAGGCACACTCTCTCACTCAAATACCGAGGGCTCAGAACTCCGAGGCCGACATATTATCTAAGCTCTCGGCCGACTCCCCCGAGCACATCTCCAAAATTGCCAAAATCGAGGAACTCAGCCTCTCAAGCATCCATGCAAGCCCCGTTACGAACATACAACAACGTCAAGAGGATTGGATCTCTGATATCACCACCTTCATCTCCACAGGGCAGCTACCCGAGAATGAGGCCCGCGCTAAACTGGCAAAGCTGAGGGCTCCTAGTTACACCATCGAAGATGGAAGGCTCTACAAACGATCTTACAATGGCACGCTACTTCGGTGCCTTCATCCAGATGAAGCCGAGGTCGCAATGGAGGAAGTGCATAGTGGCACTTGCTCAGCTCACCAGGGACCCTTCTCCATGTCCCGAAGGCTCATTCTCCAGGGCTACTTCTGACCAACCATGGCCAGGGATTGTGCTGACCTTGCCCGGAGGTGCACCGCATGTCAACACTTCCAGAAAGCCCCCGGCAGGCCAGCGGTCAACTATGCCCCCATCAGCACCTCTGTCCCTTTTTCTCGATGGGGGATAGACCTTGTGGGCCCTCTGCCGAGGGGTACCTCCAACAACAGGTACATTATTGTGGCCATCGACTACTTTACCAAGTGGGTGGAGGCTGAGCCCCTCGCCAGCATCACAGAGGCAAAGTGCCGTCACTTCGTCCTCAAGAACATCCTCACAAGGTTTGGCGTCCCCCAGCAGATCATCTCCGACAATGGGACACAATTTGAGGCAACCCCCTTCTGTGCCCTTCTGGAGGCATGGGGCATCAAACACACCTTCTCCTCCGTTGCCTACCCTCAGGGCAACGGGCAAGTAGAGAACGCCAACCGGACCTTGCTCGAGGGCCTCAAAAAGAAGTTGGAGGCCGAGGGCGGTGGCTGGGTGGAAGAACTCCACAACATCCTGTGGGCCTACCGCACCACCCCTCGGCGAGCAACAGGTGAAACACCCTTCTCCCTCTGCTACGGTTTTGAATCCAAAGCTCCTACGGAAATCACCCTTCCCACCCGAAGGGTGATCCAATATGACCCCGAGGTCAACGACAGCAACATGGCCCTCGACCTCCACCTCATTTCAGAACGCCGGGAGCAGGCCTTCATCCGGGCAGAAAATTACCGAAGGCAAGTCAAAAGCTACATCAACGCCAAAGTTCGCATCAGAGAATTCCAAGTGGGGGACTATTTCCTCCGGAGGAGGGAAGCCAGCCAACCAACCGAGGGAGGAAAAATGGCACCAAAATTCGAAGGCCCCTACATCATAGCAGCCATCATCAAACCTGGGACCTACAAGCTCAAACGCCCCAACGGGAAAGAAGTCCCTAGGCACTGGAATATACACCACTTAGTTAAATTTTATCAATAATGTAAGAGCGGCCAAGCCCTCATAACTAGTGAATGTACTATCCTATGGCCCAAGGCCTCCAATTTCGAAGAATGAAGATACATTCAAGACATCAAGCCCTCATACTGACTACAGGCCCCCGGCCTCACCACGAGAAGAGCCCCCTCCGGCACCAAGTGCCGAGAGCGGACACCATCAACACCTACAACAACAGTAAAAACACCACGTGTTTTCAGTCAAGACCCCTCGGTGAGAACATCCCCACCTTCAACATCAAAAAAGAAAAGGTGAGAACACCAAGTGTTCCTACAGAAGACCCTTCGGCACCCAGTGCCGAGGGTACACCTCCATCATCAAACATCGAAACGAAGAAAAAACACCAAGTGTTTCAAAGAAGACCCCTCGACACCCAGTGCCAGGGATATGCTCTCCTAACAGCTTCCAAACATCTGTTGGGAAACACCAAGTGTTTCATTTGAAGACCCTTCGGTACCAAGTACCGAGGGTAGACACCTCCATCAACTGCAACAAAAGAGAACACCAAGTGTTCCTACAGAAGATCCCTCGGTACCAAGTACCGGGGGCTATACATCGAAACTAACACCAAGTGTTGTTTCTAAAAGCCGTACCCCACGAGGACGCATATACCGAAGGCGCCACCATCGGTGCCGGCGGCACGTAGTGCCCCCGGCCATTTGCAACTAGTGTGCAAATGAAAACCCTTCCTTGAAACGCTTTCCGCGTCACTACCCCCAGGGTATGACAGGCATGAGAAATGCCCAGGATTCGACTTTCAAAAACGGAACGCTATCCGCGTCATCACCCCAAGGGTGTGACAGGCACGAGAAATGCCCAGGATTCGACTTCCAAACCGAAACGCTCCCCGCGCCACCACCCCAAGGGTGTGGCAGGCCACGGACTATGTCTGGCGCTGAGGGGACGACTTTCAAAAATGAGGCGCTTTCCGCGCCATCCCCCAAGGGGAGGCAGGTTACGGACCACCATATCTTGTGCCCAGGAAACGACCCTCGATCCCCTCGGAACTCGGAAGGTTAACCCGAGGGAGGAGAGCCATTGGTGTATTCTGATGGTCTCCTAATAGGCCCAGCCTTACCAAGAAACCAAGTTTCTTGATGCCTTCCCTTCACCACCAACCAAAAAAAAAGGGGTTAAGGGGAGTAGACTCAGCGAGAAATCAAAGAGTACACTCCAACAGATCACAACAAGCCGAGGGCTCCCCACGGGAACACCTCCGGTAACTGAAGGCTCCTATTTCCCGAAGGATACTACTCAAACAAATATCACCAGGAAACGGCTAAGTCCACTGCCTGGTCACCTCCGGTCACACAAGCACCGAAGGCTTCAGCAATGGTCAAAATCTACAAATTTTAAAGTGTATGCCGAGGGCACACACTCATCATTGGCTTTCTTCACAACAACAGGATTCCACAACAACTCAAGGGGCCCACGATCACCCGAAGGGTCCCGTTCATATATCCGGAGGGCTCTACATCTGGAAGCTTGACATCACTTTACACTTGCAAAAAAAATTCTAAGTCCTAAAATTGGGCCCCCGGCTCAATCAACATTACAGCCAGGGGAATACAATAGCCGAAGGCTATGCGATACAACAACACTTGCAAAAAAAAAATCTATGTCCTAAAGATGGGCCCCCGGCTCAATCAGTATTGCAGCTAGAGGAATATGCCAGTCGAAGGCCATAATCAAGAAGGGATGCCATCTCCCGAAGGCTCCCAAGGGAAAATCTACACTTAGAATATTTTCTAAGTCCTACATGTTTTTCCCCCGGTCAACTACTCATACATCAAGAAGGGATGCCATCTCCCGAAGGCTCCCAAGGGAAAATCTACACTTAGAATATTTTCTAAGTCCTACATGTTTTTCCCCCGGTCAACTACTCATACATCAAGAAAGGATGCCATCTCCCGAAGGCTCCCAAGGGAAAATCCACACTTAGAATATTTTCTAAGTCCTACATGTTTTTCCCCCGGTCGACTACTCATACATCAAGAAGGGATGCCATCTCCCGAAGGCTCCCAAGGGAAAATCTACACTTAGAAATCTTTCTAAGTCCTACATATTTCACCCTCAACTTATAAAGGGACCCAATAGCCGAAGGCTACCTATCAATCGAGGGCTACAGTACACAAGGAATCAACACTCAAGAAAATTTTCTAAGTCCTAAAGAATTGGCCCCGGCCTATTCAATATTTCAGTTGGGGCTCCACAGTAGCCGAAGGCTACGTGACATACTACACTTGCAAAAAATTTCTAAGCCCTGTACATTGGGCCCTCGGTCCAATATTCACACATCAGGAAGGGATGCCAACTCCCGAAGGCTCCCAGGGGAAAATCTACACTTAGAAATTTTTCTAAGTCCTAGGAGTTGGGTTACTACAAACACCCGAAGGCCCCATGCTGTGTTACACTTAGAAAAATTTTCTAAGTCCTAACTCCTACTGAACCCTCGGTTGCATATCCAGCAGAGGGTGCCCAACTACCGAAGGCTTCCAGGGGCAAGCTACAATCAGAAAATACTCTAAGTCCTAAAACATACATTCAAAGGAGCGAAGGCATACATTCAAAAATACCGAAGGCATACATTCAAGAGGGAAGGAATTAGAAAAAAAGAGGCCATAGATACAAAGCCCGAAGGCAATCATTCATTCATCACAACAAGGAGTAAATGTAGTTATTACAATGTTGGCCGAGGCCGAAAACATGTTAATGTGGCTATTACAAAAGTGTTCAAAGTACAAAGTACATATCAAATAATGTCATTCCCAGGGGCCGCCTCCCCCGATGGCTTCGAGGTGACTTCTACATCGGCCTCAGGATCGTCTCCCTCGGCTTCCCTCCGGAGCTCAGAATCCTCCAGGTCTGGCCTCTCGACATCAGGGGGGAGAGGAACACGGATGTCTGGCTGCAGGGGGGAGCCCGTACGCCGCCGGGTCAAAGTCCTTCGGCTCAATCTTCAGATGGTGGGCCATCCTCCGGTAGATGAGGGCTTGAGTGAAGAACTCACCCCCATCATAATACTGCTTACCCTTTCGGGCCATCCACTCCTCGCCCGGGCCCTCGGACCACTCATCAACCGAGGCCTCCACAACCGAGGACAGCCATGCCTTGTGCCCCTCGGTCTTCCACCCCCCGTCCAGGAACCCGGAGATGGCCTCCTCCCGGGCTGTGGCGACAGCCTTCGCCTTGATGGCCTCGGCCTCCTCGGCTGCTCTCCTTGCGGCCTCCGCAGCGGCCGCCTCAGCTTCTGCCTTCTCCTCCCTGAGCCTCCCGGCCTCCGCCCTCGCAAGCTGGAGGTCCTCTTCAAGCTGGGCCATCAGCTTCGTGGTCTGGGAGTCCCTGAGGATCAGCTCCTTCATCTTGGCGTCTTGCCCAGCTTTGTGGAGGCGCCATTCCTCCAGCCGTCGGAACTGCTCTCCGAGGGCAACGCAAGTCTGCAAAGATAAACGATTTGTCAGGGCCGAACGTGATTTCTTAGTTCAAAGTGGGAAAAGAGAAAGACAAACTATAGTGAACTCACCGTGAGGGAAGACCGGAGGATCCTGTCTTCGAGGGCTTGATCATCATCGGCCCCGAGAGCTGCCCTGTCGATATCGAGGGTTATACCTCTCAGAAGCGCCCTCGGGTCAGCCGTGCCATTCAACACGGCCGTGCTAGCCGGAAGGGAGAGCGTGAGGACCTCGAGAGATGGCTCCCGGGCACCCCTCGGCACCTGCGCCATCGGCATCTCCGGAGGGTCATCTACAATCACCACCGGGGGGTCATCCTTCGCGGCGTCCCCCTTCTTCAACTTTTTGGGGGCCTGGGGGGGCTCCTTTGCCGACAGCTTCCTCTTTGCCGCAGCAGCATCGCCCTCGGGCTTCTTGGGAGGCGCACCGATGGGCTTTTGGCCGCCAGCGTCCGGCCCCTTCGGATCCTTGGCCGGTTTGTTCTTGAGTCGGGCGAGGCCTTTGACGTTCATCATGCTTACTGGAACACCTGCAAAAAAAAATGAGGGGTCAGGATCGAGGGGTCACTAATAAGTGGCATAAAAAATAAACGACGCAAGTAAATAATTTGCTAAGATATGAGGGTGAGAATGCCCTCAGCCACTACCTCCGGAGGCTCCCTCAAACACTGGGAACTTCTCGTCTGTTTCCCCCAGGAACCGGTACCGCCGGAATCCGAGGGTGTAGAGATCTGCTTCCTTGGTGCACTCCTTGATGGTGATATTTTTGTCCCGGCCCTCCGGGATCATGGCCAGAATCCTGCCATCTTTCTCGAGGGCGGCGCTCCTCCTCTTCTCGTGCCTCCTGAAGCGGTCACGTAGCTCCCTCGGGAAGGGGCTCTCGGCTAGCTTCACATAGCACCACCGGTCCTTCCACCCCTTGTTCGAGGAGGGCGCCTCAGTGAAGAGTTTGAACATGGACACCTGCTGCAAATTGGCGAATCCCTCGGCATTCGCGTGCCCCCCCGGCACAGGTTGAAGCTCTGGAAGAAGAGGTCCAGGCTAGGCGTCACCCCCCGGGACTTGCAGAGCTGAAGGAAGCCGATGATATAAGAATGGCTGTTCGGGGTCAGCTGGCAGGGAACCAGACCCACGAACCGAAGATACTCCCGGAGGAAGGGGTGCAGGGGGAAGCGGAGCCCCATGGATACTGAGAGGAGGTGCACTGCAATGCAGCCCTCGGGAGCCCGAGAGAAGACGTCATCCGGACCCGGTGTCACCACGATGGCCGAGGGGCCCACGTGAAGTTGGGTGACATAGATGTCCGCCGCATAAACCTTCGACTTGATCTCCAATGCGGCGGTGTTGAGGTAGGAGTACCCCTCGGGCATATCGAGGGGTTTCCCTTGGTCTGCTACGCTGCCCTTCTTCTTGGTAGCAGCGGCCTTGGCCTTCTTCTTTCCGGGGGCCACCCGGATGGGGACCGCATTCAGCGGCCGGGAGGTGCTGGCCTCCCCAGCACCCCGAGGGGGGAGCACAGCAACGGTGACCCTCTCGTTTTCTCTTTGAGCCTCCTCTTCAGCTGCTTGCCAGGCGAGGGCCAGCTCTTCGTCCTCACATTCTTGCTCGAAGCCCTCGGCTTCCGCCTCAGCTACATGGGCTTTCTGCAACTCCAGGGCAACGACGGCATCCTGTCCCACCGAACACTCTGCACCTGAGGACTCCACGTCCGAGAGGACTTCATCCTCCATCGAGGGCGCCCCCGAGATATCTTGAGAATCACTCTGGGACAACATTCTGACTCTAGTTCGAAGGCTCGTACAACTAGTGTTTTCTAAACGTTCTATCTCCTAGCCTAAGGGCACAGTACAGGTAGCAAAGAGGTGAAGGGTAACTGGAGAACTGACCTTAAGAACAGAGGATTCAACCGGGGGCTGCTGTTTCTCTCTCTAGAAAAATTGGCAGAGCTTCGCTAACAAGTTTTTCGCACACGGAGGAATGCCTGGCCTTGGGGTATTTATAAGCGCTGGAATCCGGGCTTGGGCCCGGAAACCGGGCCTCCGGATGGACCGTCATCATTACACACCGTCGTTTCACCCAACCGGTGACCCCCGCCCACGAGCAGCCAACGGCTACACTCCACGTGTCCCCCCCCCCAACGGCTATATCCTGACGTTACATATTTCAACGGCTATATTCTGGAAGCCCCTGGGTTTTCTACTTCACTCCTCTTCGTCAAGGAGAGCCTCCGGGTACACTTACCCAGAGACGCCCCCGGGTTGTGCCCCACACAGCCCATAGCAGATGCCTTCGGGATCACCCCTTCAGGAACCCAAGGCTTCATATCAGGGCACCCCTCGGGAATTCCCCCTCAGCACTGCAAAACCGGGTAGCCCCCGGGGAGTTGCCTTCATTGACGGATAACCCGTCGCACACAGGTAATGGGAGCCCTCGGGTATCTTCCTCACCAACTAATCAACGAACAGTGGACCCCCCGGTAACAACTCCACTACTGCCCTCATCCATCAAGCCCTCGATCCCCGGGTTGAGGGGCTCCCCTTCGGCGCCCCCAGGACATCAACAGCAAGCCTTCGGCTAATCAACACATGAGCCCTCAGAACAAGGAAGAGCCTTCGGCATTACCGTTATTCTCCACTTTTGACCAAGGTTTGACATTTTCGATTCATCATTGGGGGAATTCGGTGCACTCTTTTTCCCTCATTAGGATTTTTTCCCCCAGGGTTTTTCCTAATGAGGTTTTTTAACGAGGCATCCCCCCAAAATGAAACGAAAAGCGACAGCCTTCGGCCCACAACAGCAATGGAACTACTCTACTCCTTTTCACCACTTTACAAGTGCCTCAAGGAGTGGGGGACTGGAGAACCCCCTCGGGAAAATCATTAAATTACAAAATTAGTGAAATTCCAACAAACGACAAAGCAGGCCCTCAAGTCCCGACATGTGGGTAACTGAGGGACTGCCTTCGGCAGGGACATAAAAGCAACAACTCCTCACCAACTTCAGAGATCATGACGGGACAACATCAAAGGGCAAGCACAAATTACTCCTTTTCCCTCAAGTACCTTTCGGCAAAAGGAGTGAGGGACTCCTGATGGAGTATATGGCCCGGGAACCCCCGGCCCACAGACTCCTACTACTCCAACGAAGGCCCAACAGGCCCAGAAGGCCCAGCAGGCCCAAATCACAACGCCCGGAGTACCAAGCAGCCCGCACTACGCGCCAGGGGTGCCTTCGGCCCCCTGGCCGAAGGCTCTAAACTCTCACAGAACGGGTTTCTCAAGCAAATTAAGAAACTGGGAGAAAACGGCGAAAACAGTAGCCCTCGGCACTGTGAGCCCTCGGCACCAGGGTGCCATCGGTTGGAGGAGCCCTCGGCTACTGCTCTATAGCCGAAGGCATCTCACTCGACAAGATATCCGCCTCACATGCGTACAGATCGCCGTACCCTGCACAGACGTCCCATCCAACAGCCACATTAAATGCGGCCACATGCGGCTGCCAACGCCAGCCAGTTGAGGTGACCCCTCGGCCAATGAGTGCTTGACACGTGTCCCTGTCCGGCATTTATTGCTACTATAAATAGCACCCCATTTCCTCATTTGTAACCACGCTGAAATCGCTCCACATTTATAATACACTCTCTCTCTTACTTACTTATGCTCTGACTTCTCTCTAAGTTATTCCCCGCGATAACCCTTCGGATATATACCCCCGGGTAGACTCCAGGGAAGTCAACAACCATATTATTGGTTAGGAGTGATTTAAAACAAGGGGTAATAAAGTGGGAGTAAACATGGAGTGCAAGTCAATAATAAAATGGAAGGGAGACCTTGGTAGGACCAATACCTCCAACATTCTCCACCTTATTGGTCCTAGGTGGTGTAGAGTAACAATACAAAGTTGTGAGGAGACTCATCATCGTCGGACCATTACAAGTACATCATGCAGATAATACAAGTAATATATGAGAACCACAAAGTTCCCTTTTAGACCAAGCTTACCATGCAAACCCAATTCATAATGGACTGAACTCTACCAATCGGTCCTCGAGTTCAGAACCGAAACCATCACGAAACTATTAACAAACACAACGCATGTTAATAGACCACACAAGCAAGCAATCGGGAGAAGTTGGGGATTCCAACTAATCCAACAACCACACAAAGCAAGTACACAGAAAATAAAAGAAACAATATTATTTCTATAACTAGCAAAGGTAGAGCTCACATAATCACATGGTATCACATTTTCAAAATACAAAGAAAATAGCATACCAAACATCACAAAGAATTTTGATTAAAAGAGAGTTAAGCACATTTAAAGCAAACTCACAGGAAATATAGTCAAACACTTTGCACATATCATTTCTCTCATGCTCCCTAATGTCTCTATCTCTAGTAACATGACAATCACACAACTCAAGCATATTGCTCACAACATTCGTATCATGCTCCACCTTAATAGAAATATTATTTTCTTTATTTTCACCATGAAAAACATTTTCGTTCACAAATTTGGGTTTGGTTTCAACAAGTAAATCAGAATGAACTTCAACAGGCAAATGTTCCACCTCATTTGGAGCAACATCAGGAGAAACAAGTAAGCAAGGAAATTCATTTTCAACAAAAATGATATTTCTACTCATCAACACATTGAAGCAAGTTTCACTCCTACACCAAAGCCTATAGCCTTTCATGCATTCATGATATCCTTATAAGAAAACATATTCCTTAATCCTAGGTTCAGATTTATCATTCTCACGATTCACATAAGCAGCACAACCAAACACTCTCAAATTTGGCAAGTTAAGTGATTCGCTCGTGAACACAAATTCAGGGCATTTCCCTCCTAAAGGAACAGACGGGGACATATTAATCAAATAAGCAGCATAACAAATAGCTTCCCCCCAGAACTTATTAGAGATCCCAGATGAAGCTAACATAGCCCTCACCCTCTCTAATAAAGTTCTAACCATCCTCTCAGCAACCCTATCCGGTTGGGTGTGGAGGGAATAGATTTATGCATAGAAATACCTCAAGTATCACATAAATCACCAAGCTGATAATCACATAAATCAAAATTGACAGTGGTCCTTAAAAAATTTATTTTCTTACCGGTTTATTTTTCAACAGGGGTTTTCCAGTTTTTAAACTTATCAAAAACTTGAGATTTATTCTCAATCAACAAAACTCACACTTTCTTTGAAAAATCATCGGTCAAAGTCAGAAAATAATTTTTCCCACCATGAGTGGAAACACTATAAGGACCCCACAAATCAGCATGAATACAATCAAGCACATCAGTACACTTAGGCAGATCAGAAAAACTAACTCTAGATTGTTTTCCTATCACACACTTTTGGGATCGTATTCCGTCTTTTCTGACTCAGGTCTCCAACCACTCTAACTCACACACACCACACTAGGGATGACCTCTTCACCACCAAGCTTCTTCTCTACCACTAAGTAACCTCTCTCACACACTCTCACACAAAGGAAAGGAAGAAGAAGTAGAGCACTGCTCTCTAGGG